CAGCGACGAGCAACCAAAAATCGCAGGTCCGCGCTAGGCTTTAGGTCGACAGCAACACAACTGACAGCGACGAGCAGTACTTGACCCTGGAAGTTGTAAAAGGCACTTAGGTTGAAGCAACGATCGCCTGTACATCGCGCAACAAAATCAGTTTACATGAATTGTTTAATGTTGCTGTGTGCATGTTGTGTAAATGTCTGTATGAATTGTTTCATTCGCACTGGTCGCTTTTATGCATTGTTCATAATTGTCCATCTCCTGCTGATCCCGTTTCAATAGAATTTATTATTTATCACTTAGCGCCACATCACATAAAATATAGAGTTATGATCTTTATTTTTAAGTAAACTTTGTGTAACGATAAATTGTTATTTAAAACAGAAATTGAAAAAAGATACTATTTGGCATTGGGGATGGAGCCCAAAATAGGGCAAATATAAACATCTGCAATTTAACAAACAAAAATATAATCTTTTGAAATTTCGGTATGAAAATGCCACATTCAGACATTTTGTCTTGCCTGTAAAGCAGAAGCTGCGCCATCGTCAACCTTTCGCTTCTGGAGCATATCTCCAAAACTACTCAGTGAATTGGAACCAGACATCACCTATGTCCAAACATCCTCATGTACCCTAGATGTGTCTTTTGAGGTAATTGAGTCAGTGTGACCTACATTCTGGAAAGTAGGTCTCGGTAATTGAAAATATTTTCCTGCGCAGATCTCCGCGTGAACTTCCAATTGGATTGGAACCATACTTCACAGATATGTTCCTCATGTACTTTAGATGTGCCTTTTGAGCGAATTGGGTCAGTCTCACTATAAAAAATATATCAAACTATAGTTCAGTTAATATTTATAATTTTATTTTTTCTTTAACAGATTTCGAGATCCCAGGGGAAACTGGGTAACTGTCAGTGACACATCTATTCTCATCGACCTGTGGGCAACCATGTACCCAGCTGGCAGTTCCCAACAACCATGCAAAGTGATGGTGGATCTTTCATGCAGGACCTGTACTTGCACAGACCACGTGTGAAGAAGTTCTCTACGATATCCATACCGACACATAGAGGCAGCAGGGATGCATCAGGCAAGTTCTGTTGGCAGTATAGACGAGGTGAAGGCAGAAGAGAAGGAGATGTTAGTCAAGGGTGTTCTGGCAAAGCAGCTGGCGAAACCCAAGGGCAGTAGAAACTTGCCCTCTGTTTTCGTGATATTGAGATAAGTTTTTCCTCAATGTAATCGAGTTTTGGACGGCGATTTCGCCAGCACGATACAGGGACGACTCGGGCCGGACTATCTCCCGCCGTTATTTTTTTTTTTTGCGCCAGTTCCAACGCCTGGCGGTTCCTATTTTTCGACCTGCAAGCCGCGTCCCTCGTTGCCTCCGCTCCTAAAATGGCTTTATGTATCTTCCTGTGCCGTAAAGCTTCTCATTCAAGGCGACCATTTCTATCCAGCAGCCCCATCTTGTGACATCACAGACATGGGGTATACAAGATTGGCATTTGCTGAACTGACTGTAATGAAACCAATTTTACTGCATCTCTTTTTATCTCACGGCACAAAGGACATATATTTCTTGGCGACGTTACACGCCCTATTTGCACTGCAACGCGAATTGAAAAAAATTGGGTTGGGGTCATACATTTGGGAAGTATATTTTTAAGACTGTTCTATTGTTTTGTTGTACTGTTCTATTGTTCTGTATCGTTTTTGCCAAGTGGAGAGGTACTCCGGATTCGAGAATAAACGTGGGAGTTGAGTTCGTATATCTGGCGTCCTGTGGATTTATTGGAGTAAGAAGATGTGAGATAAAGAACCTACTCAATTGATGTACTAAGAGAGATACAAATGCTCAACCAACACATTATCAAAAATACATTAAAAAAGCTATATTTTTGTATGTACCGCAAGCCGTCTATAACTAGTGTCAAGAAAGCATTTTCCAAACTAATTATTCAATATACAAATGTGGCTAAAATGAGAAGCTACATTTATTTTAATATGCATAACCATTAATATTGGTCAGAATGGTACAATGAAATTGGCTGGCTATTCCATGATATATTCCCCCCAAAAAGAAAAAAAAATGTGGTACCAGCTATCTTGTCATGAATGAAGAGCTGCACGCAACAACAGAGATCGACTGCTGCAGATCTACCAACTGACAAGGCAATGGTCGGTAAACGCGACAAGAGAAATGGCAAAACCAAAGGCCGCCAATGCTCATTTGGCAGAAAAAGAATTATGCAAAAGGTTATATAGATCATAATACGAATCTTTGTCATATGGTCGTTCAGTCGCAGAGCAGCGGCCTAGCGGATTAACCAAGTATTTTCCAGCAAGTGTCCAAAGAACATTTGGCAGAACGTGCACCACAAAGTCCCTGCAAGCGTCCTGTCAATGTCCAAACGTTAATCAACAGCGGGTGTTAGCAGATAGCCCGCGTGTGCTGGTGCTTCGCCTACTATGCGTAACTATTTAAGTGTGTTTATGGCCAGCAGCAGTGTCGATGATGTACAAACACCGATTGTTTGCATGTCTGCTATCGTATGTGGCGCAAACTGACGTCGTGGTGGAGCATGTTTAGGACTGGGTTAGGGGTGATGGCGTCTGGGGAGGGGAGCCCTACATATAAGCGACAAAATGTAAGTCCGTCATTTTCGAAAGTCGGCCAAATGTTGGTCCCAAAAGTGTCGCCATTACTTCGTGCTCGTTTTCTTTCTTTTTTTGCTTATCGAGTTTACTGAGTATTCTCATTAAAACAACTTCTACACAAAGCTTGAAACTTAGCTTGGAACACTTTTATCTCGAAAACATTCACATCATTTTGTAAAAGTCCATGGCGCATACGCAATAACCGTCGCAACCGTAGAAAATCAGGTCCAGAGTGTAAGACACAGAGGTTCGTACTAAGCGTAACAGCAGTGTAGTACTAAGACGCTGCGTAAAAGTCTGTTTATTAGATAAGCTTGTGGATACGCACGTCAGAATAGTAACAACGTAGATGACAATGACAGAGAAGGATTGCTCTGAATATTGACATAAAACGTCAATAATATTTACCAGCAGAATTGCACGTCCTTCTTTTTTAATATGCATCTCTTTGAAGCGCTATTGTGTATTTTGGATAGTCGGCATACGATAATATTCAGCGACGCTGGTATGAAGTGTCCAAATCAATTTTCTATGGCAATAACTGGCATAAAATCTTGGTGCGTGATGTTGGTTAATCAGTGATATTTCCATTGTCCAGGTGAGACTATATTCACTATATTTAGTTTCTTCTGAGCCAAAAAACCTCGCAATAACGATGCTTCACATGTGCGCTAATACACGCCTTCCATGCCTAATACAGTCCAAGCTGCTCATCACGCCCATGCGCTAATACGACGCTTCATGGCGCTATACATAACACGCTCGCATGCCGCAGATTACACGCTTCCAGCGCAAATACACGCTTTCCATGCGCAAATACAACAGCTTACATGTCGCTACTCGGCAACACGCAATACACGCCGTGGATCATTAATGATACATTGTCTTGGACGGTTTAATTGAATTATTCATTTGTACAGAACTTGTTGACCTGCAATCCAACCTCATGCAAAGGAAGCCCGCTTTTTGGCCTGGCAATACATTGGACCTGCTACGAAATTGCAGTTTTCTAGCTTAAAGGCCTCTGTCAATGATTTCTTTGAGAACATATGGATATTTCCCACAAGAGCAATAGTGGTAGAAGTGTTTCAGATAAAGCATGGAGATATAGAGAACTCCACAGCTCGAAAAGTGTTGTTGTCATGATAACCTAAAGCATTCTAGCATTGCTGGTTACAGGGATGTGCCACTTTTTCATGGAATGCAATGAGATTAAGATGGGGCACGTGGTCACGTCGACCCACCCCTCCACATCGACTGCATTTGTGGTGGTTTACCCCGCCTGGAGGTCGGTCAGCTCCCGCTCGTGGTCGAGATGATCCGCACTGAAGACGGTCAGACTCGACTTGCTGGCTAACTACGTGAGATATTCAGCACGGCCTAGCTATCTACTCTTGGCAGGGCCGGTATCCAGGGGGTTAGTTGTTTTCTGTAACACCCCTTGGTTGATAAAAAAGAAAAAGTACTAGTTTTAAACCTAGTAAACTAAGTTTTGGAACCTACATTGTTTACTCAAGGCTTACTCGTTACATTGGGATACTCATACAAATAAATGTATTGTGATACTAAGTGGTATAAGCACACTAAAACAGGTGTCAACTAGTCAAATTTAATGGGTAAAAGTTAATTTTGTGTGTAACCATTAAAATGTAATTATAACCTTTTTTAAGATAAAGACTCATTGATGGTTTGTAAACTACTGAAACACGTGCTAACTACTGTAAACAGTTTTAGTTACACTAGAATTCAAAGAGTCACAGGTCATCATCCTAGTATTTAGATTGGATCAAGAGCAGATAAAGAAGGCTTCTTTATCTGCTCTTGATTGGATGGATCAAACCACGGAGATAATTAGTCATAATTCCCAACACCAGACACGAGTTTGTTACAAATCTCATTTTATTTGATTGATGTTAATATTGTTATGGTGATATACACTGTCTTTTGTATGAACTCAACAAACAATTGAAGTGAACTAGATGCCAGGAAATAGCATCTAAACATGTTAAAAAAAAAATTTAAAAAATGGCCGGACTCTCCCCCCACTCACCGCTTTGCGGCTCGAGGCGAAGCTTCGCATCGCCATTTTGTAACCCCCCTCTGCCAAACCTCTGGATACGGCCCTGCTTGGTATTATATATAGCTCCATGGCTGTGACAAAAGAAGCGCCAAAGGCGCAGCCTGTCTGTGTAGTAAGGTAATTATTTATGTATGAGCACAGTAGCATAATTGCTGCACCGACGTAGCAGTTATTTATAGGTTATTTCTTACATAGATGCGCATCAGCAATATCAAAAATAGCTTTGAATGTGTAGGTGAACATTGGCATTATTTCGGAGAATCCGTCCACAACAGCCGGTGCCATAAGAATCACCGAGGTTCTCCAGAAATATGTTCCTACACGTGGTGATGGAAGCATGTTCACCATCCCTTGCCATGGGGATGCTCTGACCGTTGAGAGAATCTTCGATGGAAAGAGAGCAAGAGCAGCAGGCCATAGCCGTTTGGAGAGACTGGAGGGAATACATCCCGTTCCCCAGGAGTTTCACAAACGTGCTATTCTGCTGCAGGACACCATGGACATGCTATTCAACGGTCAGAGTGCTCCAGACAAGGGAACACTATTTAACATCAAGAACGTTTTCAACCACAGGTAATTTCACTCTATATCAGTATTCTTTGTATCTGTGAACATATAATGCCTACCTAGCAACGATAAATAAACTTGCTGACGATAACGACGAAAGAGCTACTCAATGCATTTCTGTATTTACTTATCACATTAGGAACTTGAAGAAAAAGGTTATGGATAACTTCAATCATGTTGAGGATTTTCTCAAGTTCACTACAGCTGCCATGGTATCCTATCTGGCAATGATGTTGTGCGGTATATCGAAACTTACAGACAAACTGACGCTCGATGTGCCAGAAGCATCGTTTCGACAGTTTGGTTGCAGGTGAGATATGACAACAGCGGTTTAAACATATGCTATGACAGTTGCAAAGGAAAAATATAACTCCATTCTGCAAATAAGGTGTTTGAACATTTAATATCATATTTTCGCCACAATTTGCTTAACATTGAAGGTGTCATTGTAGTCCCGTCAAATATTGTACCTAAAATTCTTTGGCAAAAATTCAATGTGTGCTTATCCTACCCTGTTAACGTAAATTACTAGCATTCACGTGTGTATAACGGATACCAAATATGCATGCTCAGCTGCCAAAAGAAGACCTGGCAGATGTCGTCGGGGTCCAACAAACGACCTTCTGTTTCTGAAACGCCCGAAACATGCTATTTCATCAGCATGATGAAGTACTGCACATTGCATGGAAGGTACATTATTATTTTGTCCCATAGCCTTAAACATTAATGGTTTGGCCACTTTCAGTCCCTAAACATTTTACAATGGTATTGCAATCGGTTTGTAACATGGTGTGCGAATGGCATTGAATAATTTGTGTTGACACACTCAATTTCTTATGTCTTGTGCTATTGTTGCGTGTTTCATATATCTCACGGCCATGATAAGGCATGTGACAACCATGCTGTGCAAGAGTGGCATGTGGTTTTCACGGCTCGATTGCATGGGCATCACTGAATCCACAATTCCTTGACGGAGAGTGGTTCGTGCTCAGTATGCAATGCGCGCATTAACGAAAAGTGAAGAGCACACATGCATGAAAATGAAAGCGACACTGGACACGTTCTCGCGAATCCGTTTGGGCTATGTCTTCGAAATTGACTTTCGGCCAGAAGTCGCTATTCATGAGGCAGGAACTATTGGTCCTGACCCGACCAGAATGTCGCGGGTCTGCCAGCTTCGATACTGCCAACCCACCTGGATGCAAGATCGGCAGGGTTTCTGGTGCAGTAAGGTACGTGTTCCTCCACTGTCTGGGATTGGTTTTCGGCCCTGTATGAAAGACTGACTCGATTTTGCCACGAATGTTTGAGCCACGACTCGACTGCGTTTTCCGTATCGCACCATAGCGCATTCATGCTGTCGGTCCAAAATGTGCACTGTTCATCGGACCTCGAGTGCACCTGTGATATGCCGTGCAGAGTTTCACAACTGCAGAACGCCGCATTAATTCCAGTCGTGAATACCTCATGCTAAGAGTGGAGCGACGCGAGTTTTAGACCTACTATCGCGCATGATACGTCTCTACGTAGCGAGCGTATATGACTGAAGCCGTAAGCTATCACTCGATGCATCGCCGCCATGCAGCACTCAACAGACGGAAACTTGTTTGATCACTACGCAGACGCAAAGGCCACCTGGGTAATTTTTCACCCACTTAGGTTCACAAAACCAAGAGCTTTGCTTTGTTTGTCAACGCTTCGTCCATTTGGGTCGTCCATCGTAGGCCGGACTTCCATATTTTTTGTAGGAGGATTTTAGATCGATTAACATACGGGGTTGAATAATGCCAAGCGGGTCGAATATTGTCGCTACCTTTACTAAGCAGCGTGTTCTCTGGTGAATTAAAATCTGCTGTCAAGGTGGGCTGGGTTTGAATCCAAACATGTCACATTTGGACTCACCATAAGCAACACCCCAGTGTTTTGACGACGGCAAATGCCTGCGTTAGAGATCGATCTCTGTCCGCTCTATCTGTCCGGTGGGATGCTCATTCGAGTACTACGGCGAGTTTGAAAGCCATTTTCGTGCGCGCATGCAGGCGCAGGCCTCCAGCAACTGTGAGCAGCTGACTGCACAGTTTCAATTGTCGTCTGCTTCAGAGTCTACAGAGTCCATACTGTCATCCATAATATGTCGAATTTAGGCACGGTCTCTGCTGCCGTCGATGAAATTTTGTTTCATTTTTTCCTGGGCGTTTTTCCTGTGGCGAACATTACTGGCGCTTGAAATGGGAGGAGTTCACCCCGAACACAACCGCGTGTAAACTCATACCGTCTGGTTCTGCTCCTTTGGTCCAAGTCCCGCCACAAAAACCGTGGAATGGACGATCCGCTGGGAGAAAGTCCAACCTGCAAGTACATCTCGCGGATGTCGCAAGCCAAGGCAATTCGGAGCTTTACGGAAGGCGCATAAACATTCATCAAGTCCATATTGCAGTTTAGGACGCTTGCAGTATCGTGTCGTTCAGTGAGACTCCGTCCGACCGAGCAGCTTGCATCAAAGACGATACGCGTCTTGTTGTCGATTTGTCGGGACGTGACAACAGCAAAGTGAGGCAGGTACCATGTCTTTCTCCGGACTGGCCTGCCGATCGGAATCTTCCTGATGTAGCTTTTTTCCGAGGTACATAGGCGAAGTCTCGGTGTACGATTTTGCAATGTCTGGTTGCCGTAGCATCGCTTTTCGGTGCTGACGAGTCGATTTACTGCCATTTTACGATTGTCAGTCGGCAGTTCAGGGCCATCTTGCTTCGCACGGGATGGCTACGTTGGTATCGGCCAATCTTGTTAGTCCTAACGATTCGCTGACAGTTTTCAAAGGCGATCTGCGGTTGCTAATACTCAAAAACGTGGTCGAGTTTCCTCTCTGGCAGCTTTCCAATCTGCCAGAAAACTGTTTGAATACGTAGTTGTTTTCTCTTTCCTCAAGCGTTTGAGATTTCATTGCCAATGTGACGTCATACGAGTGGACGAAGTTCTGTTCGTGTTTCGGCAGAAGCCGATCACTCGGAAGCAGCCGACACAATGTCCACCCAATCGGTGTCAATCTAGCGCATTAAGGCTGGCTTCCGGCTTTCCCCGTATTCTCTCCGGGATGCGCGGAGATCGGCATAAAGTCGAGTCCGATCAACATGTCGACGATGGTCGATTTGCCGAGGCGCCGGAAATCAATGTCTTTCAGGTGCGGCATTTAGCAAAGCATGTTGTCCGCCACGTCTAACCGGTTTACGCATATTTCCAGTTACTCGCTCTGTCGTGAACGTGCAGATTTCCATGTCGACCGTTGCGTGGTGACACTCTCTTAATTGCAAAGCGAACTGGCATAGGTTTCAAAAGTTTCGACCTGACCGTCAGAACACTGACCTCACCTTAATGAGTGCTCCCTGTAGGCCTAGCTCTGCAGCACATGTCAGCATTGTATATGTCTTGTGCTTCCCGTCGTCAAGTAGGAGCATTTGCGCGTAACCTTGTGTTTCACGTGTTGTTCAGTATTAACTGGAACGGTTACGGAGAGTACACTAGTCCACGAAGGCTGCGACATATCGGACAACCACTGGTAAGTGTGAGTCTGCTCGCCTCTTCCGTGAGAGGTCAGTACTTCTTCCCAGCTGCTTGGGCGAAGACGATGTTCCGTGTCGAACGAATGTTAAAACTCACCTTCGTGTTGTGGCGGAGAAATAGGCGAATAGTACAATCTGGTGGTGGGGCGTTGGATTTGGCAGCTGTCGATACCGCACGGACAAAGTCCGACTACGGTAACAATTGTTGCCGCGAGTGTGTCTCCTAAATCACCGAAAGCTACATAGCCGTGCTGCTTAGCAGCATCGGCCAGCGCTGGGGCTGCACTTCCATCTCTTTTAAACTTATCGCAAGTCCATATGCGCGTGAAACGCCTACAAACTGGAACACGCTCTCCGTACGATTACTATTGGTTGGTCCAATCGCTATTTGTGGTGAAGTGAGGCATGAATAGTGAAGTCGCGGTTGTCGATGTTACCGGTGGCGACGTGAGCCTCGGGCCTTTTTGTTGGCCAGTCAAGACGGAAAATCGTCCATGAGGCGATGGTGGCGAATTCCGCTTCTTGATTATCCGATCACTCGCGGCAGCGTTCCAAACAGATTTCAGGGTTGTGGCGGCCTTCGAAAACCAGCGATGGTAACGCGCTAAGCAAATCGTCTGCAGTCAGCTTCGTCTGAAGTTTGTGTCACAACGATCGTTTTCCTGAAGTCGGCGAGCGACCTGCTTCTGTCAGGTTGACGAGACAAGCGATATCGAGCAAGTCCGCCAGCTTTTCTATGTCACGAGCTGGTGGCGCACGGGTCGAAGATTTTCTAGGTCTTCGAATGAATCGCGATTTGGCGAACGGCGACCGAGCCAACTCCGATCCAAGCGTTCTTTGGCCAACTTCGTAGGGCCACAGGCGGAGTGAACCCAAGTTCTCGATGACGTTGCAGGCCTCACAGACCGTTACGTTAACTGTCGTAACTGTAAAACTTGTACTCCGGCGTGGCTGGAGCCTGATCTTTCAAGACAAGAATGCCCGCTTTTCCAGCCTTCGTATTGCCGTTTGTCCTCAAAAAAATTCAGGGATCGACACCGCATGAGCTGCTTCCAGAGATTCGCGTCGATCGATACCGATGCTGGCGCTGCGTGTCAAAAATTCTGTAGCCGATCTCTGTAGGTATTCGGTTATGCCATCGACTAGCGGGTTCGTTGAAATGCTCAGTAGGCCTAATGGTCAGCCGAACTAGGATGTGGGGCGGGCGACGCGACACTCAGCCTTGCACGACGATGTGACACTCGGCCTTTGAGGATGCTTGCGGCGACAACTCGGACACCTCGACGCATGACTTCATCCTTAACGCGGATCCAGATAGTCCATGTGCCTGCTGACGTGCGTCGGAATAAGCCCTCTCACCGTCTCTAGCTCGCCCGTTGCTGTTATCAAGATTGGCTATCCGTTCTGCGCTTCGCCAGTTACACGACAAACGTAATAATATGATGAAGTTCATGACTTTAATAGAAGTTCGCTAATGCAAGTATGGCTCGAACTCGCCGAAACTCCTAGCAATTAAGATGGCGGGTCGAAGATGACGCGATCACGTGGACGATCAGCTGACGCCACAGTCACGAAGCAAGGGAGATAAGTACTGCTGTAACTGCCACTGTACTAGTTATGTACTCTAACAGTCCATTGGTCATGTTACTCCCATAATACACATTGTCCAATATACATGTATAGCGAACAATACATGTAAGTGGCGGCAACCTCTATCTTTCTTCTTCGGCACATGCAACAATAATGTATGACAATGGTATATGAAATACCAAACATATTTTACAGGTACAGTAGTTTCTTGACGTAAACAATACGTATATACAGATGCCGAGCGGCACAGCTACTCTGTACACTTGTCTTTCAATAACTTGGTAGGCTTCCGGGCACGTTG